CTCTCTCTCTCTCTCTCTCTCTCTCTCTCTCCTCTCTCTCTCTCTCATCTATCCCTCTCTCTCTCTCATCTATCCCTCTCTACTCTCCTGCCCTGTAATAAACTGGTTAATCTTCTATCTATAATTCGTGTTCCATGGAGCCCGTTTCATCTCGGGGTTACTTTTCTAATTTTTAAACTTTTACAAAGTAACAACATAGGGGAGGAAGTTATACAACAGTTTTCTTTGTTTGAGACAGTCTTCCTGTGTAGCCACCATTTGCCTTGAACTCTGTGTAGCCCAGTCTGGCCTTAAACTCATAGCAATCTTCCTGTCTTAGCCTCCCGAGTGCTAGGTTTATGGGTGTGTGCCCCCACATACAACTGTGCGTAGGCTATACACAAGCACCATACCATGTTATCTGAGACTCGAGCATCTGGATGCGGCTGTGTACACTGGACCGTCATCCAATCTTCAGTGGGTACTGAAAGACAACTGTACTGCCACGTAAGTATTGCCATTTTGTCTTCCAGCCTCATCCCCCAAGGAAGAACAGTATCCATTGTCCCATTTCACCCTGGTTCTTTACCTTCCCATAGAGTGTTGTGGCGCTTGCATCACTCCGCTGCTCATGCATGGGGGCAATGAGTGTCCATTGATTGGTCTCTGGCTCATATCGTTCTGCAGTGTTGAGACGCACATAGCCATCAAACCCTCCCATGGCATAGATGAAATTGCTGAGGACTGTCACGCTGACATAGCAACGTCTAGAGTGCATAGGGGCCACTTGGTGCCAGGTTTTCTTCACAGGGTCAAAGCGCTTAACACTATTGAAGTAGTCTACACTATCAAACCCCCCGATGATATAAACATAGCCTTTCAAGTAGGCTGCCCCATGGTAGGCTCGTGGACTCTCTTCCTCACAAGTGACATTCACCCATCTGTCTGCCCGAGCATCGTATGCCTCAATGGCATTGGTGGGGCTTCCGCCACTCCAGCCACCAATAGCAAATAGAATGGCATAGGGCAGACGGGGCCTGGTGAGTGGGTTGGTGAAGTCAGAATTGGAGGGTCCGTTCATGTTCAGGTCATACATGGCCTTTAGGGCATTAATGATGACAGGCTTACATTCCTCACTGTCTTTGACATAGTCATTCATCTTAACATTATTCATGAAGTACTCAGCATGCATTAGGGCCAGGCGAACCTAAGAAGGAAATACAGAAATTTATTCAGATGAGGCAAGGGTGTCTGCAAGTCCCATCTCTTTAAGCCCTGCTTTCTGAAAGAGCAGCAAGTGCTCTTAACCTCTGAGCCATATTTCCAGCCCCTTTATTTGCTTTAAAAAAAAAAAAAAA